AAATCTCGAGATCCTAAAATGTCGAAATATCAAAATCTCGAGATCTTAAAATGTCGAAAGCTCAAAATCTCAAGATCTTAAAATGTCGAAAGCTCAAAATCTCGAGATCCTAAAATGTCGAAATATCAAAATCTCGAGATCTTAAAATGTCGAAAGCTCAAAATCTCAAGATCTTAAAATGTCGAAAGCTCAAAATCTCGAGATCCTAAAATGTCGAAATATCAAAATCTCGAGATCTTAAAATGTCGAAAGCTCAAAATCTCAAGATCTTAAAATGTCGAAAGCTCAAAATCTCGAGATCCTAAAATGTCGAAATATCAAAATCTCGAGATCTTAAAATGTCGAAAGCTCAAAATCTCGAGATCCTGAAATGTCGAAATATCAAAATCTCGAGATCTTAAAATGTCGAAATATCAAAATGTCGATTTTTCAAAAACTGAAAGTTGTATCCTGTAGTCCTGAATGACGAGATCCTCCTGTAAAAATTTCAGATCGAAATACTAAACACAGCCTGTAAAAAAATTGATCTCGAGATCTGAGTATCGAGATCTTCTAAACTGAAAAATTGTGAAAATCAAAAACTACGATATACTGCTTGATCCTTTTTCATAGGCGATCCCAACGGTATAACTTTTACAAATTTTCGTTCACAAACAAGATAACAGGAGCAAATATCTATATCAAAGAAAACGAGAAGAAAAGCAGAGCAGTTCTTCGTAAAATCAGAAAATTCGTAGATACATTCAACCTGTTTCTTGCCTCGGCTCTGATACCAAATGTTAGTCCCAATATCAATCAACAATCATACAAACAATATAACGAGTACAAAAGAAACGATGATCCGATTCAATACCAATAAAGATGTCGAAATACAGAATAGGGTATGAACGACGTTTTTCTCCCTTCTCACTAAAAATGATATCTGCGTTGAGGGTATGAACGACGTTTTTGTCCGTAGCTTTCTTGGGCACGCTGGCTTCTACCGTCGCTTTATTCGGGATTTCTCAAAAATAGCCAAACCTCTCACCCGTTTGCTTGAGAAATATGCTGATTTTTTGTTTGATGATGAATGTTTGCTTGCTTTGACCTGTTTGAGACTTATGTTGATGGAAGCTCCAGTTTTAGTTGCTCCAGATTGGGAAATCCCTTTTGAGCTAATGTGCGATGCTAGCGATCAGGTGGTCGGGGCCATTCTTGGCCAACGGAAGGATAATCACTTCCGCCCCATCTATTACGCTAGCAAAACCTTAGCGGGACCCCAATTGAATTATACCACTACAGAGAAAGAGCTTCTAGCTATTGTGTATGCTTTGGAGAAGTTTAGGTCGTATATTATTTTATCTGAAGTAATTATCTACACCGATCATTCGGCGTTGAGATATTTATTTCAGAAGCACGACTCTAAACCTAGACTTCTCCGTTGGATTTTGTTGTTGCAGGAATTTAACATAGAGATTAGGGACCAGAGGGGTTCCGCCAATCAAGCAGCTGATCATTTATCACGATTAGATGCTGACTTGGTAGACTCTTTCGGTAATGATGTTATTGAAGAACTTTTTCCTGATGAACGTCTTTTGCAGGTTGAGATTGGATCTGAGGTACCCCGGTATGCAGACATAGCCAACTACTTAGTAGGCGATGTTGAGCCTACCGGGCTATCTCGACACATGTTAAAAAAGTTTCTGTTTGATGCTAAGTATTATTTCTGGGATGATCCTTATTTGTTCAGGATTTGTGTTGATCAGGTAGTACGAAGGTGTATTCCTGAGGGTGAAATGAATGAGATTCTTTACCATTGTCATGCTGGCCCCACTAGGGGGGCATTTTTCCGGTAATAGGACAACAAGAAGAGTGTTAGAGTGTGGGTATTACTGGCCCACATTGTTTAAAGATGCGAGTTCTTATGTTGCCTCATGCGATAGGTGTCAACGGGTAGGAAATATTTCTAAATGAGATGAGATGCCCCAGACATATCTATTGCCTTGTGAAGTTTTTGATGTCTGGGGGATTGATTTTGTAGGCTCGTTCCCTAGCTCAAGAGGCAATAAATTTATTCTAGTCGCTATTGATTATGTGTCGAAGTGGGTAGAGGCTATTGCGAGCCCTACTAATGATGCTAGAGTGGTTGTGCGTTTTGTAAAAAAATTGTTTTCTAGGTTTGGAGTCTCCAAAGTTTTGATTAGTGATCGAGGAAGCCATTTTCGCAATGATCCGCTAGCTCGTGTTTTGTCTAAATATGGGGTTCAACATCGGCAAGGAGTAACCTACCACCCCCAAACTCTGGGGCAAGTAGAGAATGCAAATCGGGATCTTAAGGCTATCCTAGAAAAAACTGTAGCGCAAACTCGTAAGGATTGGTCAGAAAAACTAGATGATGCGCTATGGGCTTTTAGGACAGCTTATAAGACTCCGATTGGTACTACTCCTTTTCGATTAGTTTATGGGAAGTCTTGTCATTTACCTGTGGAGGTAGAGCATAGGGCACTTTGGGCCTTAAGGACTGTTTGTCTTGATTCATCTAGTGCAGGTAAGGAGCGGTTCTTTCAGCTGAATGAATTGGATGAGTGGAGGGCTCAAGCCTTTCATAATTCATACTTATACAAAGAGAGAGTAAAGCAGGCTCATGACAAGCACATTAAGACGGATCGCCAGTTTGCAGAGGGGGAGAAGGTGTTGTTGTATAATTCAAGGTTGAGACTTTTTCCTGGGAAGCTGAAGTCCTGATGGACGGGACCATACACTGTACGTCGAGTATATCCCTATGGAAGTGTAGAGATTGAGCATAATGATGGCCGGGTTGTCAAAGTCAACGACAACCAACTCAAGCACGATTTTGGGGGAATGTTTGGAAAGTAGAAGGAGGTTTTAAGTCTCGAACCCGTCTTTGAATGAGATTTTATCGTCAAGCTATTGACGTTAAAGAAGCGCTTCTGGGAGGCAACCCACCAAAAAAAAACTAAAAAAAACTAAAAAAAAACCTAAAAAAAAGAATTAGGAGTTTAGTATCTCTTGTTTATGCATTTTTGTCTTTGTTTTTGTGTTTTCATCTCGGAGTTGTGCGGTTGGATTTCTTTGCCTTGAATTGCAGGTGTGGCATGGGAGTTCATGAACTGATTTTGGAAGAATTGCAGCCCTATGTAGATGAGGTTACTCAGGACTACACACTGCAGTTCCTTCACTGCAGGCCCGAGTGCGATATGAGGGCTGGTCGTAAATTCAAGCAATTGCAGGGTTAATGGTTGGAGACCTATACATGCTCAAGAAGTTGGGATCTCTGGACTGAAACTTAGTACCAATAGAGGGATAGATTGACCAGCTGTTGGGAGATTCGGGATGGCATCACATCCTGATTTTTGAGGGCCGAACCAGCTGCCTGTTGACAGTAGACCATTCTTCATTGGGCCTTGGTTCACCACACTTTGGACAAACTGCCCAGCCTCAGTATTATTGCAGCATTCCAGTGGCAGGATTCAGCGGCATCTACACATCTAGGAGAGTCATTTCAGCTTGTAGATCATGGTTCTAAGACCGAATATCTCACCACGAGAGACCGAGGGGCTATCAGATGCTGAGTTTTATGTTAAGCCGGAGGTTATTCACTGCACTTTGGCTTATACGGTAATCTGTCAACTCTTACTACGCTGCTTAAAATGTGTGCTTACTGTCATATTACTCCTTTGTTGATTTGTGCTGATTATTATTCTGATTATGATGTGTTACCGGACTGAAAATCATTTTACTCGTTAATTTGCCCTGTTATTTTTGTTTTAATCTTTTCTGTGATCTCGAGGGCGTGTCACCCCTAAGTGTGGAGAGGTTTGGTTGTAATTCGAACATGACATTTGGTGATAAAGTTATTCTGCCCAACAACTTTTTGAGGTGTACGAGTTCTTTTCTGGTTTAGCAACGCAACAAAGGTAACTTATTAATCTTTATTTTCTTTTGTAATCTTCCATCTCCTCCATCTTTCTCGGAAAGAATTAGTAATGATGTAATCATCGGGGTGGTGTGTGTATTCTTGGGAATGTTGGCATGTTAGATGGTTTGACTTGTGTTGATTAAATTTGGTTTTACTCGTGATTCACTAGTTCATCATCAATAATTGCTTGACTGGCCAGGTGTTGAAAATTCTTACTCCGTAAGGAGCTTTGCTTTCTAAGCATATCGGGATAAATTCATGTTAAGTGGGCAACTAATTCTTGTTATGGGGTTACACTTCGTGTGTCGAGAATTTCATCTCCGAAAAGGGGCTCTGCTCATCTCGCGAATCACCCTGTGTGAGAGTTGAGTATGCATAGTAATGAGACAAACTCCCAGGCCCTATAGCTTGAATCAGCCCTGTAATCCAGAACCTGACCAACTTTATATATTCAAAAAAAAATCACGAGCATACCGGTTTTTATCACACAATTCTTGGGTTTTTGGAATGATTGGTGGTTTGGATTTCACACACCTACACCATTGGGACCATCATGCTTTTCTCTACATTTTAGTCGGTTGGAGGGGGATTTTACTTTTGATAATATTGTTTAACAGGTGAATCTTGGTTTCGTTGTTAAGAAAGAAAAGACCTTGTGCAGTCATTTGTTTTGGGTGTGAATGATTTTTGAACCAGATGTTACATGTGATTATTTTGTTTTCGTGGGTTTAATGCACTGTTGCTTGGGGGCAAGCAACGCTCAAGTGTGGGGACACTTGATAGACTCGTTCCGTTCCTATCTTTTCACCCATATTTTTGGGTGTTAATTGTCTAATTTTTATAATTAATCGGGTGACTATTGGGGGTTTTGAATGAAAATTTGTAATTTTTCAGTCCCGGTGCCATTCATTTTCAGTTTCGTATTTGTCTACACAATTTGACATTTTTGGAGTAATTTGATTGTAAAGTTACATATTATTAGCGGGTGTGGTGAGTTGCTATTGTACAGGCCGAGTTTGCGGTGAATATGTTTGGACCGGATCATTTACGGACTGTTTTTGAAGTTATTGTGTGCAGTCCAAAAAAAGATAAAAAAACGGGAGAACAAGTAGCCCAATGAAAAAAATAGCACCAACGTTGGAGGGGACTCCATTCTTTCTGTTCGTTAGCACTTAGCCACAGCAAGTATTTCTCTTCTTCTTTTGGAATTAGCCATAGCAGCAGGAAAGAACTAAGGAGGTTCCTCAACTTCACATTTCTTTGATTTCTCTCAATTCAATTTAGATTCCAAGTGATGATTGTAAGTTTGGATATATTTCACATTACCAATTCTTGAGTTTGGATTGATTTCGAATCTCTTTGTCTCCAATTAGTAATTACAGTTTTTTTTCCCCAATTTAATACTCGTAGTTCAATTTTTATTTCTAGCTGCTTATCATGTTTATCAATGTTATTGTGATGTTATTTTTAAGTATGAGTGGCTAATTCCATAAAGGGTTTGAATTGGGGCTAGGGTTCATGGGTTCTTGAGCTGTGAATTTAGTTTTTGAAATTCAATTAATTTTCTTGAAAATTGTATAAGATTACTCTTAATTGTCTATATGAATTTGATCGCCTCATATATGAATGTTTGGATTTAATTCAATTCTTGTCTATGGAATTTGTGTTAAATTAGCTTGGATCTTATACAAGCATTCTGATCTTAGAAAAAAGTTAAGACTGTGATAATTTGATTTAATTATTGTCTAGGAGAATTTATTTCATTTTCTTTCCAGGAATAATTAAAAATTAATTTACTTAATTCTCATCTCGAAAGAACACCCAGAACCCGAACCATCCAATTTGAACCCTATTTTAATATCTAGAATCAGTTTGCCTTTTTTACTCTATATTTTTTTTTGCACTCGTTGTTAGTTAGTTTACTTTTTTTATCAGCCGAAAACAATTTATTCGGAAAGATTAACATGACTTGTGTTAGCCTGTGATCACGGACTGTATTTAAAACTTCCTTTTTGTCACTCCTTGAGAGATGATACTCGTGGTCTGGTTATTCTACGGGTTAACCAACTACGTTTTACTCACTAAAAAAACCCGATCACTCATTATCATCAGTTTAGAAAGTAAGAAAAGTGTGTTAAGAGTGAAATACACTTAGAGTAGGAGTGTATTGGTGAGGATTGGTTTTTTGCAATAGTTGAGTGTGAGAGTTTGCTCCTCCTATTGTAATTTTGTTCTTGATATTGAATAGAAGAATTTTCCAATCCCAACAATAAGTTTGGGAAAAAGAGTTGCCTAGACAAATGAATGGAGGGAACACACTACATGCATTAAGCATCAACTAATATTTTTAACAAGGAAAAAGAGGCAAATAAGCCCACCTACTAACAAAAAAGGTCAAATAAGCCCTTATACAGGAGGTTCTTTCCGGCCGTCGCTATTTGGGGCGGTTTCCGGTGGAATTTTTTGATGCAATTTTGTGAGCATATTATTCATTAAGTCTAGTTTACTCATACCAAATTTCAGCTAAAACTTCAATCGGGAAGTCATTCAAATAAATTTTTGAAGATAACTGCGCAGTTATCTTCAAGAATTTGTTTGAATGCCTTCCCAATTGAATTGTTAGCTGAAATTTGATATGAGTAAACTAGACTTAATGAGTAAGATTCTCAAAAAAATTTATCGAAAAATTCCACCGGGAAGTGCCCCAAATGGTAACGGCCGAACAAAGTCTCCTATATAAAGGCTTATTTGACCTTTTTGAGTTAGTATGTGGGCTTATTTGCCCCTTTTTCCTTTTAACAATATCAATCAATAAAATATTAAATAATCAATTCATTAAGCAACTACACTTAACCAACCAATCAATTAATGTGAACGAATCAGATCAATGAAAGTAACTAACCTCAAAATTCCAAAACACAATTCTCAATAAACCAAACCCATACAATATAACCTCACTAAGACACTTCAACTAAGATTTGAACGTATGGTATAATATTTTGACCTCAAAGATCTTTCTTTGGCAATCCACCTATCCTAAGGAATTGAACACCCCTCACACTGACCTAAATTATCAATCACAATGATAAAGGGAGGTAAACCGTCAAAAAGAGATCAAAGATAAACGAAGGTAAACCAAGCATTCCAACCCAGCTGGTTGTGAGATCTCGAGTTCGAAACCCGCTAGGCACATAAAGGTTTGAAACTCAATGGAGTGAGTTTTAAGTCCTGATTACTTCAAGCACCCCCAGACCCTCTGGAGTGTAGATATATATATATATATATATATATATATATATATATATATACACATATATATGTGTGTGTGTGTGAATCTCATATTGGTTACTAAGGTTTCAAATGGACCAAATCGGACACTATAGTTACATGCGTACCTCATATTAGTCACCGGGGTTTCATAATTCGTAGTTTTTGGACACTCATGATTCTCTTCTTCCTTAATAAAAAGTCGTTTGTCTTATTTTACCTTTCCTTTTTTGTGTCAATTAACTAATTTAATTCATCATTTTCATTTAGCCCAATGCCGCAAAGGCTCCCACCTACAGTGGGGTAAGAGGGGGTCGGATGTACGCAGTCTTACCCCTGTACTAAAGAACAGAGCGACTGTTTCCGGATGACCCATAGTGAAAATCGCGTCCAAAATTGCATGGATCGACTGCTGCTCCATAACAAAGAAACGCAGACAGTTTAGTGAGTCATTTTGCTTTATTCCATCATAATCTCAAGCCAAAAAATAATGAATCTTTTGCTCCATTGCAAATGATGGAAATAATTAATGTATATAATTTTGGAATACTTAATTTGAGGTTTTAGAATACATAATTCGATTTTAATTAATAAATTCTTATATTTAACAAGTTAAAAATATATTTAGAACTTTTCTTTCATATGATTTTTATGGAACTTCGGAAAATATCAATTTGTTAAACTAATTTTACAATACTACAGAGTTCAATTACATTATAATAGATTTTCCTAACTGAAGCATCTGATTATATATTCTAAATCTAAATACACAAATGTGAAGTCTTATATCAATTTGTTACTTATATTTTTTAGGTACATAAAACTAAAGGAAAAAAGGACTACTTATAGCTTTCAAATGTGAAGTCTTTGGTGGGTGTCAAACAATGATCAGAAAAACATTACATTTGATTCATTTGAAACTTTAGTGTCCAATATGAGATACACATGTAACCATAGTATTCAGTTTTGTTCATTTGAAACCTAGAACATAAATGTGTAGAACAATAATTATCTTCTTAATTTTTAAAGGAAAACGAATGTCAATACCAAAGGTGAAAGGTCCCATGTTCAAACTTGTCAAATTATGATCTTAAACTATAGTCGTCGAGTATATACGTATATATGTACCTTAATGCACCGTCTTAATATTATAATATATGCTTGGTGTTTGGTCAGTCATTTACCATGTCATGTTTGTTTGGTAAAATACTGAAACATTGGTTTGTGTCAAGCTATGGTTGACATGTTATGACGGTTCAAGTCATCCAATGTCCTGGCCTTTAATCTTTCGGCTCTTAGAATTAAGTCCTCATCATGGGATCTGTCTAGAGCTTCACTCTCCATCAGAGCTTCACTCTCCATAGCTTTCCTCATTTGGATGATGTCAGATACAACAAGAGACATTTGAGGCCTGAACCCAGGCGCCTCCTGCATGCAGCAAGAGATGATGTCCGCAAACTTTGAGAGTGATTTGACAGGGTAGTCTCCCTTAAGGGAAGGATCAACCATCATTTTCAAGGCATTCATATCACAAAGCTGAGGGTATGCCCATCGCACCAAGGACTGCTCCCCACCACCTAGACTCCTAATAAGGGCGTCACATACAAGGACACCAATGAAACAGATGACAATGCATGTGGTTACATTACAAAATATGTGTTTAAGGAAGTGTTTAAATCTGTTTCTTAAAACTGCTTCTAGGAGCAGTTTTTGAGAAGTTGGGGATTATCAACTTTTGAAAAATTGATTCTGGTTCTACATTTACTTTTAAAAAAGAAATAGAAGTAGAATCAATTCAAAACGCTCCATAATTAAGGCACTACTATTTGTTTCACACTCAAAATAAAGAAGCAATGTTATGGGTTTTACCTGTCATATGGCAATCTGCCAGTCAAAAGCTCTAACATTACAACTCCAAAACTGTACACGTCACTCTCTAAGGTATAAATCCCTGACTCACATTCAGGGGCACTGTACCCATATGTTGTAAGAAGTTGTCCTGATAACTGCTTGATGCAAGAAACCCATAATAATATTTAGATATGAATAAGTTCTTAAGCACCTCCGAAAAAAGGAAAAAAGTGATGAATATACCGTTCTCAGTCCTTATTTTAATTACCTGACTGACATCTCCTGATGACATCAATGGAGCCAACCCACAATCAGAGATGTGAACAACAAGATCACCATCATCATTATGATCAAGGAGAATATTTGAAGACTTGAAGTTTCTATGAACAACTGGTGGGTCACATGTCTCATGTAGGTACCTTCAGTAATCAAGGTTGTACTATTTTAATTAAATATAGAAGATAAATTATACATTTAACATTGAGATTAAGTTAGAATTCAAAGTGGCTTTAAGTCATTTCACATATTTGTTACTGACCTCAATTTAGAAATGGTGTATTCTTTATAAGGAATAAAATTAAACTATTAAAGGATTTAACTAACTAAAAGTCTAAAATAAAGGTCAAATTCCCTATTTCATTTATGAGTTTAACTAACTAAATGCTCCATCTACTGATCAGTCTCATTCTTCTTTCTTCACTCATTTTTCAAAAATATAATTTCATGCTTTTCAAATTTGGGTATTTGTGTTTAATGAAACTTTTGAAATTGTTTTTAAATGTTTGAATTTTAAAAAAGCTTTTACTTTCTCTATTAATTTAAAAATTGTAAGAGTGAATATCCTTATACACAGGGCCACAGGCCGGGGTGGAGCCAGGGATGACCCCTTCCCCCCATTTTTTCTAGCACATATATATGAAAAATATGGATAAACAATAAAACATATGTTGAAATATTGGCCAAATTACCAAATTGGTAAAAAAGAAGAGGGTGTCTTACCAGATTGGTAAAAAAAAACATTTGAGACAAATTGGTAAAAAAAATAATATCCAGTGACAAATTGATCAATTTTTTTGAGTGAGACACTTTTGGTTCTCGATTTTAGAGTTCCCGACATTTCATATAATAAGTATTGTGAAATTGACATTTTCAGTTCTTCTACTTTAATTTTGTCATCAAAAGGAAAGGACTAAAAATATCAGCGGTCGTGTTTGATAGTAGTAGTTGTCTGTTAACTAATAGGTTAGGTGGTTGAATCAGCAGATTGATATATACCAGCGGATTCCGTTAGCTTTTTTAACTAACCGCTTTCAATAGCGGTTTGAAATAAAATGTTAGTAATTTAGTTGTTTGCAATTAGCTTTTAAGACGTAAAATGATCATTAAGGATATGAATTTAAAAGTTTACATATTTAATTAGATTTTATTTCTTTTATTTTTAATAAGTCTTGGACAAAGTTTTAATAATTATATTTACATTTATTTTAAATAATCACTAACACTATTATTTTTAACATATACATTAATGCGAGTACACACACATAAATTCAAATTTTTTTAGTATTAATATTTTAAATATGACTATTTATTATTATTTTTTAAAAACTACTCGGTTCTGTTAACTTTTTTAACTAATCACTTTCATTAGCAGTTTGAAGCAAAATGTTAGTAACTTGACTATTTGCGATTAAATGTTAAGACGTAAAATGAACAGTAAGGATAGGAATGTAGAAGTATATATATTTAACTTAACTTTAATTTTTTTTAGTTTTAATAAGTCTTGGAAAAATGATAGTGTTAGTAGTTATTTAAAATAAACGAAAATAAAATATTTAAAACTTTTTCCAAGACATATCCGTAATGATCATTTCACATCTTAAAAACTAATTACTAACAACTAAGTTACTAACAATTTATTTCAAACCACTAATGAAAGCGGTTAGTAAAAAACCCTAATGGAATCCGTTGACATTTTTAGTCCTCCCCTTTTGATGACAAAATCAAAGTAGAACAACTGAAAATGTCAATTTCACAATACTTAAAATATGAAATGTTGGGAATTCTGAAATCGGGGACCAAAAATGTTTCACTTAAAAAATTGACCAATTTGTCACTAAGGCTTTTTTTTACCAATTTGTCTCGGATGGTTTTTTTTTACCAATCAGGTAAGACACCCTCTTTTTTTACCAAATTGGTAATTTGGCCGTGAAATATTAAGCTTTGGCCCACACTGTGCGACTTTTTGGAGTATGACTATTTCCATCATTTGCAATGGAGCCAAAGATTCATTATTTTTTGGCTTGAGATTATGATGGAATAAAGCAAAATGGCTCACTAAACTGTCTGCGCTTCTTTGTTATGGAGCAGCAGTCAGTCCATGCAATTTTGGACGCGATTTTCACTATGGGTCATCCGGAAACAGTCTCTCTGTGCTTTTTAGTACAGGGGTAAGACTGCGTACATCCGACCCCCCCTTACCCCACCGTAGGTGGGAGCCTTTGCGGCACTGGGGTAAATGAAAATGAAATGAAAATGAAATTGGAGTTCATAAGTGTTTTGAATTATTCTTATTGCAATGCACAAGTGCATATGATAGCCAACCTGTTTAAGTGCATGTTCTTAAAGGTATTTTCCAAACAATAAAATTTTGATTTAGCGCGTTGGTTCGCTGAATTGTGTAATAAGTAAGGTTGAAGCTAGTTTTGTAGCTAAATTTGATGAAAAGGGCTTCTTTAGATTTTTTCTTATAATTTTTTATTTATTTTATAAATAAAATATGTTTTAAATATAATTATTTAAAAAATTAGTGGATTCAGCCATTTCAACTACAGTTTCACCAATTTCAGCAAATTTTAATCTTACCAATCTAGTTTAAAATATATTGTACGTAGTACGTTTTAAATAACAGTACTTAATAGACTAATATATCACTACTTACTCCAAGGCCTTAGCGGCTCCAAGGGCCAAATTGATGCGCATATTCCATGAAAGCTCTTTATCGGGTGTGTGGAGTGCATTGTGCAATGTACCTTCCCTGCAATACTCATAGACCAGCAGTCTTTCGCCATACTCTGCACAGTATCCGTCGAGCTGGACAACATTATCATGGCGAATTCTATCAATGTTGCTTACAAGAGCCAGAAATTCTTCATCACTTTGCCTACCACGGACTCTCTTATCAAGTGTCTTCACAGCAAGATGCTAAAAAACCATCAAAACAGTGAGTGAGCTGTGAGTGTCATCAGATGGCAATCATGCCATAAACCAACCATGCATTATGAAATCTTTGATCTGTCACAAAGACTAAGACCTGGGCTTGGCGGTTTATTGAGAGGGGAGAAGAGGTGAAAATGTATCCATGTTGTTATGTTAGTAACTTAGTATTAAGAATTGAAGTTCCATTCAAAAAGTTTAATACGTTTAATCTGATAGGAGATTAGCCCATTATCTTATACACTCCGTACTAGATTAATATTTTATATATATGTTGAGAACAGAAAAATAAAAAATCAACAGGGTAAAACGTTGCCCAGATAATCAACGATAGAAATCGTTGCCCAGAGCCAAAAGGCTGAAATCCAACTTTATTCCAAGATAAGCAAAAAAAGAACCCTCCCAAGAGGTATAAATAGCCTTCTAGTAAAAGACTCAACAGAAACCCTAATTGAGCCCAAATTAATTAAATCATAACTAAGCCCATACTAACTCTACTAAGTACTCTACTAATAATAGGCCCAAACTCAAAACATAACATAAACTTTATAATAGTAAAGAAAACTATAATCCTAGCCCACAACCAACCCACGGAGGTGGGCCCAAGCCCATTCCCACCCCTTGATCTCTCTGCTCTCTATCAATCCATCCTCCTTCGAAACAATGATAGGGATCGACCTATTAGACTAATAATTAGAAGAGTTAGTTGTTAGTTATATTTCTGTTATTAACTAATAACTAGAGTAGGTTGTACTGGAAGGCTATAAATAGAATAGTATGGGAAGGAGAGGGCAGGCTAAGAACAATTAACTATTAACTAATGATAGAACCTTCGCAATTCCAGAATTAATCACAGAAGATTAAGAACAAAGAAAAAGAAAACTGAATCTCATTCAAAGGAGGTAAACCGTACACAATTGTCCCAAAGAAGGAGATAGAACTCCAACTTCCTAGTCCCAGACAAAATGTCTAAAAAACAGCCTGCCCTCTTCTTCCCATACTATTCTATTTATAGCCTTCCATTACAACCTACTCTAGTTATTAGTTAATAACAGAAATATAACTAACAACTAACTCTTCTATTTATTAGTCTAATAGGTCGATCCCTATCAAACAACCTTGTCCTTAAGGTTGAAATCCGGAAACCGGCTCACATTTGTCCCCGGGGGCTGCCCAATATCTTTAGGAAAGCTGCCGCTCGATCCTTTCATTGAATACCCCAAATAATGATATTCAGATAGCCTTGAGGCCTGACTTGTTAGTTGAACAAAAATTGAGATGTACTCCTCCACAGTCCTTGTCTGCTCGACTCCGGACAGCCATTCAAAGCGATTGCCCTTAAACCGAGTCATAACGAGCCATCAACGCCTGTGTAAGCTCATCCCATGACATGCCCGGCTTTCGTGCCCGTAACCAGGTCAACCAGTATAGGGCCGACCCTTCCATCGCAACTATTGTGGCTGCCACAGTGCCACCTTCTTTCCCAGCGGAGTACAGTTCAGTTCGAACTGTTGCTCAACCCTAGCAACCCAGCCAATCGGGTCTTCTCCGTCAAATGAGGGTAGCGTCCTGAGAGAGGTGCTGCACAGTCCAGTTTCGAACGCAAATGCCGCTGCCGCGTCAAGTGAAGCCACCGCCGATGAATTCTCCGCCGCCGCTGGCGGCGCAAGAGCCTTCGTGAGCGCAGCCAATGAGGTTGCGATCTCTGACAGTTGGATTCCTTGTGTGTCCAGCTTTGGACCCCTCGCGTCCAGTTTCTGGTTTATCAAAACCTGTTCGGCCTCCATCTCTGACAAACGTTCACTGGTTGATCTCGTCATTCCGGTGGGAACGGGATCCGGCAGGTTGGACCAATGGATGAAAACACAAAAATAAAAATCAACGAAATGAATCGTTGCCCAGATAATCAATGATAGAAATCGTTGCCCAAAGCCAAAAGGCTGGAATCCAACTTTATTCCAAGATAAGCAAGAATGAATTCTCTCAAGAGGTATAAATAGTTTTCTAGCAAGAGACTCAACAGAAACCCTAATCAAGCCCAACTTAATTAAATCCTAATCAAGTCCATACTAACTCTACTAAATACTCTACTAATAATAGGCCCAAACTCAAAACATAACATAAACTTTATAATAATAAATAAAACTATAATCCTAGCCCACAACCAGCCCACGGAGGTGGGCCCAAGCCCGTTCCCACGCCTTGATCTCTCTGCTCTCTATCAATATAGCTATTGTGGGGAAAAAAAATTGGCACACCCCTACTCCACACCGGGATAAACATCAGCAAGGTTGATACATGGGTCAAACTGACTCAAAATGGGCCTACCTGCCTACCCAGACTATGAGTGCCAAACTAACTAACCACTTGTTTGGGACTTTGAGTTAGGGATTTTTGGAGGGGAGTGAATGAGAGAGGTTAATTTTTACTCATTTATCAATATCCATTGGTGTTATATTAGAAACTAAATACTCTTTTCGTCCCTATCTCTCTCTCTTCAAAACAAATATCGGCTACACAGTATTTATTCTCTTAAAAATTGCGACAAGTCAAAATAGGTGTTAATATAGGATAGATGGGTATCTCCTTAGTCAAATCATGGTTTTCTTTGCAATTTCTCACTTTGCCTTGCCTTTGACTAACTAATGTAGAAGTAAGTTAACTTAAAATGAATAAACGCCATCAATAATAATAGATTAAGTAAGATAATTTATGTACTAGGGAAACATAAGAAACTACTTTTGTGTCTTTTGTAGAAAATCCCTTGGCAAAGAATCCTACAAGTAGGCCTAGAACAATCTAAACTGATAAGGAGTCAATGATGGTAGAGTCATCTAATTAATTTCTTTCATCTTTTGTGATAGCAAAAGATGAAAGATGCAAAATTAAATTTCATCTCAATTATATTGCAGGCACAGCCATTTTAGGCTATGATCAATAAAGCCTATAAAACAAGACCAAACATGCACTAATTAAAAATTAATTTGCAAATAGATACTGACTGAAGGAAAATAAAGAAATGTTGCCTAAATCATTAAATATTTTTTTTTGTACAATAAATCATTGAATATCATGAAACTTAGACAGCAAGACCCCTTAAAGTTGGTATTCATAATCCATTCTTTTACCTATGTTATAAAAATAGGAAATGTTAACAACAAAAATCCATACTCATCAACTACTTCAGAAAAAGTGAACCGCCACTTAATGGTGTTAAGTTTCCGTTATATTAGTTCATTTTTGTGAAGCTATAAACATGTTTAGATTATTTTCGCACAGTTTTCCAAACTTGGGATTATTGGTGTCCAAATTTTGAACTTGTTTTTTAACATGTAACGGGTTAGAAAATGTCTTACATAAACTTAATTTTTAATAATAAATCACTATTTTATCCATTCCAAGTTATTACACATATCCAATTACAAATATCACTGAAGAGATAAGTAATTGTCATATACTTCATATTAATATTTAATTTAGTATTATTATTTATTAAAAGTAAATTAATTGCTCCATTATAACAAGGATAACAAGTTTGAATATGATAAATAAATTGATAAGAAATAAAAGAGTAAAAATGAATTTGATGAGTATTTATGAAACATTTATACAATATTTCATGAAAAAATATAATATTAGACTCAGTGGAAATAAGTCTAAGATTAAGTATAGTATCATTAATAAATAATAATCTTTTTTCTCTTTGAAAATGCAAAGAGAAAAAAGCTAACATTATTAGCTTGCGGTATTCTAAACGGTTAACGAGTTAGAATTATTGTTGTGAACTTTTCTTTAATGGATTATTTTGTAAAATGCTTAAAAGTAGGATTATTAGTGCCAGTTTTGCCATAAAAATTTAACATTATTTATTTTAGACAGTAATCATACTCTGCCATCAGGAAGCTCTGCCTTAAACACTTTTCCCAGTGTTCCCTCTCCAATAACATTATCTTCAGAAAAACTATTGGTATATTGCTGAAGATCTGCAACTGAGTACAATGGCGGTAGTTGTGTCATTGAATGCTTTACTATGGTTTGTTGTGCACCTGTAACCTCTTTGAGTGGTTGTGGTATGGGAGGAGGCGGTGGTGGTGGTATCCCATCATTATCATATATGCTCATGGTTGTCTCATGGCTTCCCCTTGGAATTGGCTTAAGTACATCCAGCACCGGAGTATATGGCTTCACAGGGGAAGCCAACGAGCTTATGTACTTCTCGTTTAATTCTACCGCTTCAAGAGCTGCTCAAAACAACACATTTATAAGAAATATAGATGTATAATTGATATAATATAAAAATATAAACCATCATACTTCGTATAAGACATGACTTCACATATAAGTTTGTTATTTAGGATGAAACCTTAGTCTTAATAGATCAAATGATATGTTCTAAAATTTGCATTACCTTTTTGCACACGAATTTTGTGTGTACCTTTCCTTTCCCAAAGGCGCTTCGGCAAACAAAGCAAGGCAGCTAAAACCAATACTATACATGATATTATAGTCACAATTGAAATCCAAACTATCCTTTTAGTGGATCCTGAGTTCTTGTTTTTCTTTGACATTGGACCTTCAGCTGGTGATTGTCCGTAAGTCTGTACTCCCGGCCCTCTTGCAGTGTTTGGTAGGGTTGGTGCAGACATGGGAGCCACAATAAAGTGTGGTGCTGCAGAAGGTGGTTTGGAGGGCGTTGGTGGAGATGCAGAAGGTGGTATGGAGGGTGTTGGTGGAGGCGAAGGAGCAATACTACCGTTGAGGGGGTTCCCATCTTTCCTGTTTTTTACACACATTTAGCCCTTGTTTGGTTTGACGGATATTGGAGGGAATAGAGGCGAGGGAGAGGAAGAGTAATTTTACTTTTTAATATCATTATCATATTATTGAAGAATAAATGAAGATGTAAATTTATATAGTTATACATTAATTAATTAAACATTTTTTAGTTTGAGACTCATATGTGAAGATAAATTAATTAACCAAAAATCAATTCTCCCTTACCCGTTCCTCGAAAAATCCCCAATTAAACAACCCTCAGAATGTAGGTGATTGAGAAATCATATCGCACATTTTCTCAAGCAAGCTATATACTAAATTTAAGTTTTCAGACTTCATTGTACTACTTTTTTTGTAAGGATTAAGGAAACTCTTACTTCCTTCATCCCATTTTGTAAGATACACTTTCCCTTTTAAATTGTTCCAAAAATCGAGCACTTTAATGAATTAAACTCTAGTGACTTTTTTATTTCCCACTTCATTCTTTTATATATCATTTCACTCTTTACTTTTTAATGAACCTGATCTTACTCTTTCTTATTTTTTGAAGGTTAGAATTGTAAAACTATCACCTTATCTTTTATTTTCTTAAAACTAGAGCCAAATCTACATTCATCGCGCATCAGTTTTCATGTTTCATCGTACTAAGTTATAAGAGTTGTAAGCCATGAGTAATACTTAAACTTTATGTTTTATTTTTTTGTTAAATACATTTATCATTTTTTATGTGTTCGGAAATAATTATTATAGCTTAAATGAAAAACCAACTTTTCTTGTTGAAAGAAATCTCATTCTTTTTTCACTTTTTTTGGGCAGGGACAAGTTGTTTTTGGAGCAGAACTCTAATTCAAGAGTGTTTATCTGGGAACTTACATGAAATTTGGAATGGCCAAGAGCTTCTGAGGTATGGGACCAGAAAACTGGTTATTTTCTATATTTCTGAAAGAGGGAGACAAGTATTAGAAGAAAACTAATTCACTTTTAACATGCAATTAGTATGACCTATTAAGAGAGATATAGTTCGGCGAAGTACAATTCTGTAAGTGGAAGATCTTGTATAACATCCAGAGTTCCAGAAAGCTGATTATTCTGCAAATGACTGGTGATCAAACTGTCAGCTTTACAGGCCGAAACTAAAAGAAACATCAAACTGAAATATTTATAGAATCATAAATTCATAATTATAATTATCAGAATCATAATTGGTTAGAGGTCACTCATCTGAGCCGTTGTGCTAAATATTGAGTCTATAGTTCTACCCCAAATCATGGGTAGTGAAACAAACATATACAACCACAAACAAGTCAAACTCTGATACATGATGAGCGACCCAAGATCTTATGTGTTGATTTACTATGTGGATAAAAACCTTAACACTAAAAGATTGGATCTAATTGATCAGCTATTCTAAAAAAGTAAATGTTAATCAGATATCTAGTATTTATTTCCATGTGAGACTCTTCACAGGATATATAAGACTCACAGAGTCACCAATGAAAGGTTCCCAAGTGATGGTGGTAATCTCCCACTCAAATTATTGCTGAACAAATCTCTGCATGAATAAAATTGACTAAACTAGATTAGCAATGCTAAAATAAAATAAAAGTCAACTCTTGCAACACATAAGAAATTTCTCAATGGCATTATCTTACAGGTTGACCAAATGGACGAGGCCTTCAAAGGAATCAGGAATTTTTCCGCTTAAATGGTTGTTATTTAGAGACCTAAACTAATGCACCAAAAACACGCATTACTGCATACAATAATACAAGCTTTACATTTGTTAGTATTAGTAACGGTTAGGGGAAGCAAGTAAACAATACTTTCAAGTAAAACAAATTGAAAAAAAACATACATAGCTGAGAGGTTGTGCAGTGAAGATAAGGAATCAGGAATGTTTCCGGTAAAATTGTTATCTGATAGAAACCTGCAAAAACTTAAAACCTATTAGTCTTCCAACATACGAGTATTTTTTTTATATGCACCAGATGTATTAAGAATTTAAGAGTATATGTATTTATTTATAATAATAAAACGAAAAAATCCTTAGATATTAGAAATATTACTTAGTAACAAGTAACCACACATTCGACAAAAAATGTTAATTTTTAATTTTAGAACCAGAATGTCACTGATGCTACCGTCAACGGGCAATGATCAGTTATCAACACATTGACCAATAATTAATGCGACAGTTACCTATTCATTGGTAACAGTTGTGTTTTAAAATGAAAAAGTAATGAGAATTTAATCATTACTATTTAAGGAATAATCACATATAAAAGTATAAAACATACAACTTTTCTAATGTGAGGGGTAGCTTGGATGGAATTGCGCCTCCAATGTGGTTGTTACTTAGATCTCTGCACCATAAACGGTGCACACTTGTTATATATGGACACATTATACAAAGAAACAATATAATATCACAACGATTGATTTGTGCCATACATTATTTTGATAGAGGAAAATGATCCTAACTCAGTGCCCAATTCACCACCCAAATTTGCACCATTGATTATTCTGCACACAAAGAAATGGTAAGAATAATTAACATTTCCATTTGGTATGCTACCAAGGATTTCAGAAGCATATGAAGGGCTCACACATTGAAACTATGTCTGAGAGATCACAGGAAACACCTTGCCAACCTCCACTGCATGGACTGCTATTTGGGATCCATCCTGGTAGATTAGGATATCCTAAAGCAGCATGTAAACTAGTAATTGCAGCAACTACACCATTGCAAAAAGTAAGGGTCATTCCTAACTGTGAGTTGTACCAGTTAGAGCAACGTGTCTAGGTTTTAAGGTTGTGACTCACTCACAGTCTAACACTAATATGAAGTATTTTTTTGGGTATATTTGAATTTAAAAACTTCTAGGAAATTAATGAAGGTTAACAACCTAAAATCTCTTCACGTAAATTATAGTAGAACGGAAATCACTTATAGGTCCCTCGACTATTTGGGATCCATCCTGGTAGATTAGGATATCCTAAAGCAGCATGTAAACTAGTAATTGCAGCAACTACACCATTGCAAAAAGTAAGGGTCATTCCTAACTGTGAGTTGTACCAGTTAGAGCAACGTGTCTAGGTTTTAAGGTTGTGACTCACTCACAGTCTAACACTAATATGAAGTATTTTTTTGGGTATATTTGAATTTAAAAACTTCTAGGAAATTAATGAAGGTTAACAACCTAAAATCTCTTCACGTAAATTATAGTAGAACGGAAATCACTTATAGGTCCCTCGACTATTTCGAATGCACAAAATTTACAGATAGAGACTACACTGCAGAATGGGAAACAAACGAGGGACCAAACCAATAATGTTCTTTTTATCATGAGTAGTGTTAAGGAAAACAGAATATTAACTCCAATTCAACAAATTAATTTTTTATATTTGATCGTATACACTTTTTACTTATTTCTATTATATAAAAGTAAAAAATCGAAAAACTGTGTACCATTTTTTAATCATATATCACTTCCCTTTGCATTCTTTGAGGTAAATCCAACTTAAGAAAGCACCTTCATTAGCAATTTCTTTCATTTCCCTAGCTTATCCAAACATATTTCCTAGACACTGTTAGTGAATGAAACTTATATTGATCCCAAAGTAACAAATATAAAAATACAAATTAATACTCTCTATATGAAGTCTTCAGAGTACAAGTTAGTTAGAAATTGTACTAAATAACTTAATTTAAGGCAATCAAAGTAATTGTGAAAAGAGAGGGGATAACTATAAAGTAAGCATCTAATAAACCCTACCATCTTGCGGATTAGTCCCATCTTCAGTACGAACAGCCAAGATGAAGAAAGCCCCCACAAGCATCTTTAAATTCAAGCAGAAAACAGCAAAACCATAAGCACCCATTGATCCAAGATGTCACCTTTCCCCCTCAATCAACTGATTAAAGCTTCTCTGAGAAAACTTTCTTCATGGCGTTGTAAATTCGAATTGGATGCATATTGGAAGAATGGAATTTAAGGTGGAATGGTCTGATTGGTTTTACACACCCACACAAGTGAAGTAGGATCAAAACATATAAAGAAAACAGAGCACAAATGGATGAAGAACATATTAAAAACAATAGGAGAATGGTGTGGCGAAAAGCTCAAAAGTCAAAACTCAAAAGTATGTGCTAAAAGTTGGAGGGAAGGAAGCGTAAGGGAGACCGGGTGACTCGGATATGCATAACGGGAAACAGCTCAGAGTCGCTTTGTTGAATATGAAGAATACTATGGGGTAACTTTTTGAAAAAATTGGTAAACCAAGTTTCCGTCCGTTTACTCGAACTATTCATGGAATCACGGGGACGAACAAAAAATGGGACTTTGTTAACATAACTATGATACCGAAAATGTCCAAAATAGAGGATTAATGAGTCTCTAAAAAACACAAATATAACTACTCCCTTCATCCAATTAGAAGGTTCTCACTTTCCTTTTTTTAGACGTCTCATTAGAAGTTTCTCATTTTCATTTTAAGAAACAATTAACGATCTTAATTGACAAATTGATCATCAAATATTAAAAATAATACATTTATAACATCACAGTTATCAATACTAACTACATTTAATATATACCTATTAAAATTATTTCTCAAAATATATTCGAAGTACTTTATTTAATTATTGTCTAAATAACTGTGCCGTTTTGCTATGAAAACCTTCCAACAGGATGGGGGAGTACTACTTTTTAAATTCCTCATATAGGAGTAAACATTGATTTTCTACCCTAAATACCCCTAAGGGTATTAATTCCTTATTAAATATTTCAATTCATAATAAAAGGGAGATTTACCAAAATGAGAGTAAATAAAAGGATAATTGCAACAATAGGAGTTTAAAGTTTAAATTCCCAAAATAGGACTAACTCTTCCTATTCTACCCTTTCCTTTGTCCTTGATAATAGGATTTTCAAACAATCATTATAAATATAAAAAAAATCAAAATAAAAAAATAAAATCGCAAAAAATAATTAAAAAATATATAGACCTCAACCACCACCTCAGCCACCTTCCAGCACCGCCACATCCGGTCGCCGGAAAAGATTGCCAAGTTGGTAAAAATTGTCATTATGATGGTGATGGATAGTCTACCCGGAGGGTATATATCCGAGGGGTTATTGCTGGGAATAACTTAGAGAGAAGTCAGAGCAAGTAATATCGGAGGGTATATATCCGAGGGCTTATTTAGGAATTGAATTTATGTGTGCTGAATTTGAATATTATTATATAAAAGGATTGTATTTGAGATATTAGTTTGTTGATATGAGTTATTTTGGAAGATTTTGTAATAGTACGTAATTTGTTATCTTTGTGGGAGTTTAATGAAAAAGGAAATTTTTGAAAGAGAAATAAATATTTTCATAAAGGGTGAGCATCACGAGAGAAATCCGTGGTGTTGGTTTTCCACGTCCCTTAAAATGTGGAGGATGGTTAGGTCTACTACTACTCAATTTTTGGTTTGTGTTGGTTTGAGGTGAATTGTCGGTCGGTAGAAAACATCCCGGCTTTTGAGTAGTAGTGGTAGTAGTAGCTCCTAATTATTCAGGTTTTGAGGTGGGGTAGTTGGTGGAAAACATCCCGGCTACCCGGATCGACTTACTAACCCGGAGGGCTTGGAATACCTTTAGGGGGTGTGCACACTTAAAGTAGTTGTTTCGGTTTCCAAGGAGCAGTTGTGGTACCGGCAATAGTTCCGGGGTGGCCGTACATAACAACGGACCACCGGGCTCAACCAAAGTGTTGAGCACCGCCCTTCTAAATTACTAGGAAGTTAGATACAAAGTGATTTCGGGAAAAATTCAAAAGAGGAGAATTTTGGTGTTTCATGTATTTTGGAATTATTATGGTTTACGAGTTAATTATGTGATTGGGATTTTATATAAATATCGTTTACTTATGATTTATGGTTTATAAAGTGTTGAAAAATATTTTATAAGGTTGTACGAATTTTATATATATTATTTATTATTATTTTAAAAGGTTAGGTGAAACTTACTTAGCATTATTGCTAATGTTTGTTTCTTTTATTTTTGTTTCTGTACTTGATTTTGTAGAGGTGTTGAGTTGGTCCCGTTGAAGTTGATTTCGAGAGAGCTTACGCTAGAACACAAAATTAGTAAATAATTGTAATTACATTTTCAGCATCTTAAATTAGTGAACATTTATTTTAGAAGTTTAATCTATTTTGAGTTTAAATTGTTTTAGCCTGTGCACTCGGTTAGGTTAGAACCGAGTGTGGCGGTAACACCCTATTTCCCCTTTGAATTTTCCGCTGCACATTTTGTGATGTTTTCAAATAAAGCTAATAATACTTTCCAATAAAGATAATAAATAATGTTTTATTTAAATGTATTTTTGGGTGGGAAATTTGGGGGTGTTACAAGTTGGTATCAGAGCCGAAGGTTTTTCTGGGAGGGTTTTCAAAGCATTTTTTTCAAAAGGTTTTCTAAATAATTTTTTAAATGTTTTCTTAAGGTCTTAAATTTCCTTAAGTGGTACCAACAAGTTGGTATGAGAGAATAGTTTTTCTGAGGAATTTTGAATATGCTTTTCGAAAAAGATTTCTAAACAAGTTTTGAAAATATTTCTATAAAAAAAACTAGGAAATGAAAATGACTAGGAAAAGAACTATTAGGAACGTGGTGAGGATGTGAGATTTTAATGATATGGATCTATATTATTGAGTAGTGAAGTTCATAAAGTTGCTTGCTTATATATGAAGTATGTGAAATTAGATAGTTTCCTTGAAGCTTATATGAGATAGAATTTAAGTATGACCTTAGTATAGGTAGGACTTATATGTTTAAGATGGCGTAGAGACTTTGCTACGTTCTTAGTACTTAAGAGAGTTGTGAGATTAGAAGTAAAGTAGTCAAAATGGTGAAAGTGTTATGGTCAAATTGTTTGACCGAAAATGCCACTTTGAAGACTGAGGAAGATATGCGCAAATGCTACCCAGAGTTATTTGATTAAGGTAAAATTATAGTTACGAGGACGTAACCCCTCTTTAAAGGGGGTAGAATGTAATACTTAAGAATTTAGTTATTTTAGCTTATGCTTCGGGGACTAAGCATTCTTTTAAGGAGGGTAGAATGTGACACTCCAAAAATTTAAATAAAAATAAAAATAATTTTTATTAGTCAGATAAAATATTATGGAAATGACAATTTAATTATTAAGTGAGTCAAACAAAAATTCAACAAATGTGACATTCGAATCAGATAAAAGTTGTCCGATAATAAAAGTTACATTTTTACCATTTTAAGTAAAACGTAATTTGTGTATAAAATACACAAATTACAAATTTGGCTTTTCTAATGATAAAATCCTAATATGAAAATATACCTACGTGCATGATAATATGTTATGCATATAATACATATCAATCCTATAATACGTACATGATAGTATACTATGTATAACTCCGTATATCATAACTATTAATACATACTAATAGTATACATCATAATACTCCGTAGACCATAAAATATATATGTAGGAAACACAACCACGTCCAACTAAACTATGTATCCAACCGTAATTACGACCAAGATACACATAACAATCAGAATAAAACTCAAACACCCACACTCGGGATAAGCTTTAACGCCGAATACAACTGCCAACAGGTAGGATAATGAAGCTAGCGGAATTTAACTCAAACTCTAACGCTATCTACCCTCGACCTACACCCATAAATATCACCCTCAGATCTGCGAATTCTTCCATTCCCAACCAGAGTTCGACACTCACACACATATATATTCATATACGTATATATGTATATGAAAAACGCAACACTTCGTTTTAGCCAAAACAGAGCCGTAAAAATACTCTAAAAACCTTCCCCTTCGTGATACGAATCCAACGGAAAAAGAATCGTTGAAAACGGTCGTGAAACGAGAGAGATATCGCTCGCCGGAGTTGCAAGTTGTGGAAGCGGGTCTTTATAAAAAGCAGATATTTTGCCGTAGATAGGGGTGGAGGAGCTTCGTCTCGCCGCAAGGATCATTTTGCAACTTGAATCGTCGAAATCCGTTATCTGTAAGTCAAGTTATAGCTCGCCGGAGTTTTCTAGTTTCCGACGAAGTCGCCGGAATCGACCTGGAGAAGATGACCCAGTTGTCTGGGTCAGAACTCTTGGGCCGGGTCGGTTTAATGGGCCAGTTCGGCCCAGTTTTAATAAAAATTAAAAATAAAATAGTAAATCAAATAAATAAAATCTGGAAAAATATAAATTAAATACCTAGTATAAATATACATATTCGGACAAACCAGAATTGAAAAATAATATTTTAGCTATTTTTAATTGATTTAATTGTAATTGGGCTAATTTATACACATTTAGTAAATAATTAACTAAATAACGAAAATAATTACGAAATAAATATTGGAGTAAACTAGGATAAATATATGACTAACTAGGACCTTATGGACCATTTATAATTAATAAATATTAATATTTAGTATATTTAATTGTAATTGAACCGGTTAATAGATATATGAAATTAAGGGAATAATTATGGAAATAATTATAAAATAGATATCTGGACAACCTAGGTCAAATATAGACCCAAAACATAGTTATAGACGGTTTTTAATTTATAAAGTCGATTCTTAGTCTATTTAATTTAATTGGTTCATATAAAACTAGTTAAGTAATTAAATAAGGGAATATTAATATTAATGGTGAAATAAATAAATCACTGAGATTGAAAAATAATATTCTGGACTAAAAATGATGTTGGAATAAAATAAGGAAAATAAAATAAGGTTGGATTAGCTAACATAAATTATTGACTATATGTAGACTTAATAAATAACTTAGTTATGTAATTAGTGGACTAATTCAATTAATAATTTTTATGATTTATTATTAGATATTCGGGCTTCATATAAATATTTAAAATATTTGAATTCATAAATTAATGGGTTAATATAAATAAAGTAATTAGATAATAATTTATGAGTAGAGTAAATTAATGGTGATTATTGAATAAAAATTGGATGTTGTGGTTAATTATATTCGGATATTTTAATTAATATTAGAATTCAAATATTGTAATTAATGGCTGAATTAATAAGGTAATTTGATTAATAAAAAGTGATTAATCAAATAAATTCGAATAACTATAAATTAAGTTAATAAATAAGGAGATAAAAGGGGAAAAATTGAATAAAATAATTTATAAATAGAATAAGTGACTAATTATATCATCTAAATTAAAAAGATGCTCATTTAGAGACTGGAATTGAAGAAGAGAAGTAGGAGCATTTGGATTTAAGGTAAGTTTCACGTCAACCGAAATTAGTTCTTTTTCTTCGTGATTTCTTTTAAATATTTTTGTGTGCTTATTTGAGCACCGGGCTCAACCAAAGTGTTGAGCACCGCCCTTCTAAATTACTAGGAAGTTAGATACAAAGTGATTTCGGGAAAAATTCAAAAGAGGAGAATTTTGGTGTTTCATGTATTTTGGAATTATTATGGTTTACGAGTTAATTATGTGATTGGGATTTTATATAAATATCGTTTACTTATGATTTATGGTTTATAAAGTGTTGAAAAATATTTTATAAGGTTGTACGAATTTTATATATATTATTTATTATTATTTTAAAAGGTTAGGTGAAACTTACTTAGCATTATTGCTAATGTTTGTTTCTTTTATTTTTGTTTCTGTACTTGATTTTGTAGAGGTGTTGAGTTGGTCCCGTTGAAGTTGATTTCGAGAGAGCTTACGCTAGAACATAAAATTAGTAAATAATTGTAATTACATTTTCAGCATCTTAAATTAGTGAACATTTATTTTAGAAGTTTAATCTATTTTGAGTTTAAATTGTTTTAGCCTGTGCACTCGGTTAGGTTAGAACCGAGTGTGGCGGTAACACCCTATTTCCCCTTTGAATTTTCTGCTGCACATTTTGTGATGTTTTCAAATAAAGCTAATAATACTTTCCAATAAAGATAATAAATAATGTTTTATTTAAATGTATTTTTGGGTGGGAAATTTGGGGGTGTTACAGGGGGGTACACGTGGAGTGTAGCCGTTGGCTGCTCGTGGGCGGGCGTCACCGGTTGGGTGAAACGACGGTGCGTAATGATGGCTTTGGCTGCTGGGAGCCCGGATCTCGGCCCAAGCCCGGATCTGGGAGCCTATAAATACCCCAAGCCAAGGCCATTCCTTCTTTACGCATCCAACATCCCTAGCGAAGCTCTGCCAAAAATTCTAGAGAGAGAAACTCAAGCCTTCGGTCAACACTCAGCTTTCAAGGTCAGTGTCCCGCTTTCCCCTCAAAACATTTAGTAAGTTCCGCCCTCTGGCCTTAGATTAGGGTTAGGGTCCTGTAGAAATCCTTCGAAATCTTAGGCACATTTCGTGGTAAAAAATGTCGTCCGAGAGCGATTCCCAAAACATATCGGGGGACCCTTCGGTTGATGAGGAGCACGTTTCTGATGCGGAGTCCGTGAGCGAGCCCTCGGTCGGTGCTGATGCCGCCCTGGCCCGGGAGGTCCAGAAGGAACTCATTGCTGAGGTCGAAGCCGAGGGCTTCGAGCAAGAGTGCGAGGATGAAGACCTAGCCCTCACATGGCAAGTAGCGGAGGATGAGGCGCAGAATGAGAGCACGAAGGTTACAATTGCTGTTCTCCCCCCCCCCCCCCCCCGGGGGGGGGGGGGGGGTTCTGGGGAAGCAAGTAGCTCGAGGCCGCTAGATCTGATACCTCTGAGGGCGGTCTCCGGGTTGAAGAAGAAGAAAGCGAAGGCCGCTACCAAGAAGAAGGAGAGGGCTGTCGATCAAGGAAAGCCAGTGGACATGCCCGAGGGGTACAGTTGGTTGAACACTGAGGCTCTCGAGATTAGGTCGAAAGCCGATAGGGCAGATCTGTACGTGACTCAGCTGCACGTGGGGCCCTCGGCCGAAGTGGTGGAGCCAGGTCCTGACGACGTGTTGTCCAGGGCGCCCGAGGGGTGTATCGCCATTCACGTCCTCTCGGTTTCTATGGGACTTAGGTTCCCTCTGCACCCGTTCCTCCGGGAGTACCTGAGGTTTGTTGGTTCGGTCCCCTACCAACTTACGCCCAACAGCCACTCCTACATTGCGGGGTTCCTCCAGCTCTGCAAGTCCCGAGGGGTGAAGCCCAGCCTGGATCTATTCTTCCAGAGCTTTAATTTGTGTCGGGGGGGCACGAAAACGGCGAGGGATACGCGAACCTGCAGCAGATTGCCCGTTTCAAACTATTCTCCGATGATCCTTCTTCAAACAAAGGATGGAGAGAACGTTGGTGCTATGTGAAGTTGGGCGAGAACCCATTCCCGAGGGAGCTGCGCGATCGATTCCGAAGGCACGAAAAGATCAGGAGCGCTGCCCTCGAGAAAGACGGCCTAAAGCTGGCCAAGTTCCCGAAAGGGAAAAATAAGAATGTGGCGATCAAAGATTGCACCCTCGAGGAGGATTTATACACCCTCGGGTTCCGGAGGTACCGCTTCATAGGGGAGACCGATGAGAAGTATCCTCCCTTCAACAAGGCCTTCGGAGGAGCCGGAGGTAGGAGCTGAGGGCTTTAGATTTTTGTACTTAGTTTTTTTTGCTTGGATGTCATTGTCCCTTCGCTTAGACCCGTCGGCCTAATCCTTTGCCGTATTTTTGCAGGTATCCCCGTGTCCATGGTGAACGTGAAGGGCCTCGCTCGCCTGAAGAAACAGGACCCGAAGGGGTCGGGACAGGGCAACCAGAAGCCCACCACTGCCCTCTTCAAGAAAGCCGAGGGCGATGCCGCTGCCAGCAAGAGGAAGGCGGCGACCAAGGGGTCCCCCCCGGCTACCAAAAAGCCGAAGAAGGGGGATATCACCGATAGGGAGCCCCCGGTCATGATTGTTGATGAGCACCCCGCCTCCGGGGTGCAGGTGGAGAAGCCGTCGGGTGGAACGCCGGCGGGGGCAGAGGAGTTGCTACCTGAGGTCCTCCAAGTTTCGTTTCCGAGGGGTACATCTCTGGCCAGCGGCGCTGTCGACCCGGGGGCCATCTTGAGGGGCATAACCCCTGAGACGGATAGGGCTGCCCTCAGGGCTTATAATGATGCGGCCCTCGAGGACCACATTTTCCGCTCCTCCCTCTCTGTAAGTGTTCACTTGGCTTTCTCCATCTTCTCCTTTGATCATTTTGTGTGATTGCCTTTAACCGTTTTTGTTGTTGAACTGCAGGCTTGTCTAGCCCTCGGTGAACAGGCCCGGAGGCTTCAAGAATGGCGCCTTCACAAAGCGGAGCAGGACGTCAAAATGAGGGAGTGTATCCTCAAGAACAAAGAGGCGGTGAAGCTGGGGGCCAGGCTAGAAGAGGAGCTTCGGCAGATGAACCTAAAATTGGAGGCTGCAGAAAAGGGCAAGGCTGATGCTGAGGCCGCTGCTGAGGAGGCCAGGAGAGCTGCCAAAGAGGCCGAGGATTCCAAGGCGTCAGCCATCGCCAAGGCTCAGGAGGAGGCCGTTGACGCCTTCGTCGCCGAGGGTTGGAGAGCCGAGGGGCGCAAGATGTGGGTGTCCTCGGTCGTGGAGGCATGCGTTGATGAATGGGCCGAGGGCCCTGGGTGGGAATGGATGGCCCGGAAGGGCAGAGAATATTATGAGGCCGGCGAATTCTTCACCCAGGCCCTCATCTATCGGAGGATGGCCTGACACTTGGGTATTGAGCCAAAGGATTTCGCCCCCTCGGCATATGGCCTCCCTCCCCTGCAGCCTGATGTCCGTGAATCCCTTCCCGAAGGTGTACAACGGCCCGACCTTGAGGACACAGAGCTGAAGAAAGAGGCTGAGGACGACGCTGTTGAGGCCGGAGCGGAGGTATCGTCGAGGCCGGCTGCAGAGGACGCCCCGGGGAATGATGATGTCGTAGTTGTTGAGTGATTTTATACTTAGGAATGTCTGAACATATTTTGTAATGAACATCATTGATGTATGAATAGTTGACCGGGGGGGAAAATATGTAGGACTTAGAAAATTTTCTAAGCGAAGATTTTCCCTCGGGAGCCTTCGGGAGATGGCATCCCTTCTTGATGCATAGCCTTCGACTGTCCTATTCATTTAGCTGTAATATTGATTGGGCCGGGGGCCCAATCTTTAGGACTTAGAATTTTTTCCAAGTGCTGCTTCCTTGTGTAGCCTTCGGGTGATAGGTGCCCTCTGACTCTACATCACTTTGCGAGATGCCCGGGGGCTACTCATTTAGGACTTAGAATATTTTTTAAGCGTAAAGTGATGTCGAGCTTCCGGATGTAGAGCCCTCCGGGTATATGAACAGGACCCTTCGGGTGATCGTGGGGCCCTTGAGTTGTATGAGCATTTGATCGAGGGCCAAATATGTGGAACTTAGCAAAATTTCACAGTGTGTCGTAGATGTTGGACCTTCGGTCAGTGAGGAGTCTGTCCGAGGGGCAAATGTTTTGGAACAGTCCCCTTGGTTGGCTTTTGAAGATTTGTAAGAGATGCCTTCGGTTGTCTGGTGACATATTAACCTCCGGTTGCTGTCATTTTCCAAAAGTGTGGACTTAGGAAAAGTGTGGAATCCTGTTGTTGTGAAGAAAGCCAATGAGGAGTGTGTGCCCTCGGCATACACTTTGAAAAGTTGTAGAGTCTGACTTAGCCAGTTGTGTCCCTTGTAATGGGGTAGGGGCCCTCTGTACTTCGTTTTGTTTGAAGTATTGTTTAGTGGACTTTGGATAGTCCGGTCCCTTTGTATTGTCGAAGCCTTCGGTGCCTGTGTGACCGGAGGTGACCAAGCAGTGGACTTAGCCATTTTTTGATGATATTCGTTTGAGTAGTATCCTTCGGGAAATAGGAGCCTTCAATTACCGGAGGTGTTCCCGTGGGGAGCCCTCGGTATGTTGTGACCTGTGGGAGTGTACTCTTTGATTTCTCGTTGAGTCTACTCCCCTTCACCCCCTCTTTTTTTTTGGTTGGTGGTGAAGGGAAGGCATCAAGAAACTTGGTTTGTTGGTAAGGTTGGGCCTATTAGGAGACCATCAGAATACACCAATGGCTCTCCTCCCTCGGGTTAACCTTCCGAGTTCCGAGGGGATCGAGGGTCGTTTCCTGGGCACAAGATATGGTGGTCTGTAACCTGCCTCCCCTTGGGGGATGGCGCGGAAAGCGCCTCATTTTTGAAAGTCGTCCCCTCGGCGCTAGACATAGTCCGTGGCCTGCCACACCCTTGGGGTGGTGGCGCGGGGAGCGTTTCGGTTCGGAAGTCGAATCATGGGCATTTCTCGTGCCTGTCATACCCTTGGGGTGATGACGCGGATAGCGTTCCGTTTTTGAAAGTCGAATCCTGGGCATTTCTCATGCCTGTCATACCCTGGGGGTAGTGACGCGGAAAGCGTTTCAAGGAAGGGTTTTCATTTGCACACTAGTTGCAAATGGCCGGGGGCACTACGTGCCGCCGGCACCGATGGTGGCGCCTTCGGTATATGCGTCCTCGTGGGATACGGCTTTTAGAAACAACACTTGGTGTTAGTTTCGATGTGTAGCCCCCGGTACTTGGTACCGAGGGGTCTTCTGTAGGAACACTTGGTGTTCTCTTTTGTTGCAGTTGGTGGAGGTGTCTACCCTCGGTACTTGGTACCGAAGGGTCTTCAAATGAAACACTTGGTGTTTTGATTGGAGTGTTTGGTGCCGGAGGGCCCTCGGAGGAAACACTTGGTGTTTCTCAACAGATGTTTGGAAGTTGATAGGAGAGCATATCCCTGGCACTGGGTGCCGAGGGGTCTTCTTTGAAACATTTGGTGTTTTTCTTCGTTTTGATGTTGGTGATGGAGGTGTACCCTCGGCACTGGGTGCCGAAGGGTCTTCTGTAGGAACACTTGGTGTTCTTATCTTTTCTTTTTTGATGTTTGAAGGTGGGGATGTACCCTCGGCACTGGGTGCCGAAGGGAAATAAAACACATGGCGTTCCTTGTCGTTGGTGACGGGAGTTCCCACCCTCGGTACTTGGTACCGAGGGGTCTTGTTCGAAAACACATGGTGTTCTCCTGTTGTTGTAGGTGTTGATGGTGTCCGCCCTCGGCACTTGGTGCCGGAGGGGGTTCTTCTTGTGGTGAGGCCTGGGGCCTGTAGTCAGTATGAGGGCGTGGTGTCTTGAATGTGTCTTCATTCCTCAAAAGTGGAGGCCATGGGCCATAGGATAGTACATTCATTAGTTATGAGGGCTTGGCCGCTCTTACATTATTGGTAAAATTTAACTAAATGGTGTACATTCCAGTGCCTAGGGACCTCTTTCCCGTTGGGGCGTTTGAGCTTGTAAGTCCCAGGTTTGATGATGGCTGCTATGATGTAGGGGCCTTCGAATTTTGGTGCCATTTTTGCTCCCTCGGTTGGTTGGCTGGCTTCCCTCCTCCGGAGGACATAGTCCCCCACTTGGAATTCTCTGGTGCGAACTTTGGCGTTGATGTAGCTTTTGACTTGCCTTCGGTAATTTTCTGCCCGGATGAAGGCCTGCTCCCGGCGTTCTGAAATGAGGTGGAGGTCGAGGGCCATGTTGCTGTCGTTGACCTCGGGGTCATATTGGATCACCCTTCGGGTGGGAAGGGTGACTTCCGTAGGAGCTTTGGCTTCAAAACCGTAGCAGAGGGAGAAGGGTGTTTCACCTGTTGCTCGCCGAGGGGTGGTGCGGTAGGCCCACAGGATGTTGTGGAGTTCTTCCACCCAGCCACCGCCCTCGGCCTCCAGCTTCTTTTTTAGGCCCTCGAGCAAGGTCCGGTTGGCCTTCTCTACTTGCCCGTTGCCTTGAGGGTAGGCAACGGAGGAGAAGGTGTGTTTGATGCCCCATGCCTCCAGAAGGGCACAGAAGGGGGCTGCCTCAAATTGTGTCCCATTGTCGGAGATGATCTGCTGGGGGACGCCAAACCTTGTGAGGATGTTCTTGAGGACGAAGTGACGACACTTCGCCTCTGTGATACTGGCGAGGGGCTCAGCCTCCACCCACTTGGTAAAGTAGTCGATGGCCACAATGATGTATCTGTTGTTGGAGGTACCCCTCAGCAGAGGGCCCACAAGGTCTATCCCCTATCGAGAAAAGGGGACGGATGTGCTGATGGGGGCATAGTTGACCGCTGGCCTGCCGGGGGCTTTCTGGAAATGTTGACATGCGGTGCACCTTCGGGCAAGGTCAGCACAATCTCTGGCCATGGTTGGCCAAAAATAGCCCTGGAGAATGAGCCTTCGGGACATGGAGAAGGGTCCCTGGTGAGCTGAGCAAGTGCCACTGTGCACCTCCTCCATTGCGACCTCGGCTTCATCCTGATGAAGGCACCGAAGTAGCGTGCCATTGTAAGATCGTTTGTAGAGCCTTCCATCTTCGATGGTGTAGCTAGGAGCCCTCAGCTTTGCCAGTTTAGCGCGGGTCTCATTCTCGGGTAGCTGCCCTGTGGAGATGAAAGCGGTGATATCTGAGATCCAATCCTCTTGGCGTTGCTGTATGTTCATAACGGGGCTTGCATGGATGCTTGAGAGGCTGAGTTCCTCAACTTTGGCAATTTTGGAGATGTGCTCGGGGGAGTCGGCCGAGAGCTTAGATAATATGTCGGCCTTGGAGACTTTGAAGGAGAAGCGGATTGCATAGTAGGCTCTGAAGCCCTCGGGAGTAATGAGGACTACCCCTCCCCCGCATGCTTTGGTCGCGGAGGAGCCATCGATGTAGAGGGTCCACCAGTCGTCCGAGGTAGCCGAGGGCTCCCCGTCCGTGGCTGCCCTTGCGGTACATTCCGTCACAAAGTCCGCCAGGGCTTGGCCCTTGATGGCAGGCCTCGGACGGATGTCAATGTTGTACTGGCTCAAGAAGATAGCCCATTTCACCATGCGGGAGGAGCTGGTGGGGCTCCTCATGAGGGCGCCGAGGGGTTGATGAGTGAGGACCTGAACCGGGTGAGCCTGAAAGTAGTGGCCCAACTTCTTGACGGTCCAAACGATGGCTAACACCGTTTTCTCCACAGGAGAGTACCTGAGTTCGGCCTCCCTTAGGGTCTTGCTTACATAGAAGATGGCATGTTGGATGCCGTCTTCCTCCCGGATGAGTACGAAGCTGATGGCTGCCGGGCTGACCCCAAGGTAGAGATAGAGGGTCTCCCCTACCTTTGGTTTTGAGAGCACAGGGGGTGAAGATAGATATCGCTTGAGTTCGTCGAAAGCCCCCTGGCATTCCGGAGTCCATAGAAAGCCAGTCGTCTTCCTCATGATCTGGAAGAATGGTAGAGATTTCTCCGCTGATTTAGATAGAAAGCGGTTGAGGGCTGCCAGGCGGCCCGTCAACCGTTGGACTTCCTTCACATTGCGTGGGGGCTCCATGTTGATGATGGCCTGGATCTTCTCGTTATTGGCCTCAATACCCCTTCGACTCACCATGTAGCCCAAGAACTTGCCCCCTTGGACGCCGACGGTGCACTTCTTCGGGTTTAGCCGAAGGTTGAACTTTTGCATGATGGCGAAGATTTCCCGGAGGTCGTCAGCATGGCTGGAAGATTGTTTGCTCTTGACGATCATGTCGTCGACATAGGCCTCCATGGTGCGCCCTAGGACGGCTTGAAAGACCCGGGCCACCATCCGGGTGTAAGTGGCCCCTGAGTTCTTTAGGCCGAAGGCCATTACTAGGTAGCAGAAGATGCCCTCGGGAGTCATGAAGGCAGTTTTTTCGGCGTCTTCCTCGTGCATGAAAATTTGGTGATACCCTCGGAAGGCATCGAGGAAGGACATGATCTCACACCCTGCGGTCTCATCCACCAGTTGATCAATATTTGGTAGAGGGAATGGATCCATAGGGCACGCCTTGTTGAGATCGGTGTAGTCCACGCACATGCGGAAGGTAGGGGGCTTCTGTGCGAGGACTACATTTGCTAGCCATGAGGGATATTTCACCTCCTTGATGTGCTTAATAGAGAGGAGCATGGCGACCTCCTTCTTCACAAATTCCCTCCTTTCGGCGGAGAGGGGTCTTCTTCGTTGCTGTACTGCTTTTGCCGAGGGGTCCACCGAGAGGCGGTGGGTGATGACCCTTCGGCTTATTCCCGGCATGTCCTCCGGCCCCCATGCA